GTTATTTCGTTTCATAGCTCGTTCAAACGGCCAAAGGCGGACATACGGTTGCCAGCAGAATGTTGATCAAGGACGCAAGTAACGCAAACTCCTAGCTTTAAGGACAACTAGTGGCCACGACGAGAAAGGTTGAGACAGCAGCTGTTCACCGAGCAGCGAAATCTCTCTGAACCGCTGCACTCAAATATAACCCAAATTTCAGGCGCCGCGCACTACTCAGCTATCGACTAACATTTTCACACGAGCTAGGTTACCGCAAGCGAAACTCCCTTCTCTCGTGCAGAAAGTACAAGCGAAAGGATCGTGCAGTAAATGCGGGAAGAAAGTGTTGCCCCAAACAAGTACTAATGTACGTCAAAAATGATTATTCTCGTACGTTATTTACTCATGACCTTTCCAGCAATCTAAAACTTCGCAGCAACCGAAAACTTTGCAGCAACCAAAAAAACAAACGCTTACCAATACTCCGGTGAGTGGTGTTGCACTACTGGTTAATAAGCGTGAAAGCCACAAGAGGTACCCAGGTGAAGAGGATAGGCTATTTGGGATGCTGAATGAAAATGTAAGGCCGAGGACTACCAAAGTTCCAGCCGTTTGTATGCGGTTTGCGACTACTCGATTAATTTGCTTCGGGAACGGGTGAAAGGCTGTAATTTTTTACAGCCAGTTACAATACCACAGAATAAATATACGTTGAGCAGGCTGGTATTGCTGGAAAATGAAAATCCGGTGACGACATCCAGTGCAGGGACGGCGGCGAGACACTCCGATGAAGCCGAAGCAGAGAACCGGAATATCATAGAGCTGCTCCAGTCGCTTTACAGCCAGTCCTTTTACACCCGACGGCCCCCCCCCTGGCTTTCATGAGGAAAACCCCATCTTGAATGAAAGGCGCGCGAACTACAGATCTTGACGGGGAGTGGGGCGATCTACACGAGAGACGTGACCAACCTATGCGTCTCCCCCAAGGCCTCCTCTTCAACGAAGATGAAAGCAAAGATTATAGGTGTATGGCAGTGAAAAAAAACCTAGCGGAACATCTCAAACCTGGGAAGGAGGTGCTTTTTTGACTGTGAACAATCTCACGTTGACAAAAAAAATCGTTTAGACGAGTTCACCGCTGCCATTATGCCAACTGTAAGGCTGCGATAGCGTACTCGCGAAAAGAGGCCATCCTGAGCGGCTGCCAAATTTCAAAATAAAAGGAGTCAGAAAGTAACAGAAACAATGACACGTCAATTCTGCGGAGAACTACCGGAACAATATGAACGGATTCAAACAAGGACAGCCGAGAAATCATGACACCTTCAAAGACAGTTACCGCAATCAAGTGTTACGGATAGTAGGTGCTCAATCATGAACCAGTGGCCTATAAGTAACTCCCTAGTAGAAGAAGCGGAAAAAAAAACTTAGAGACCTTCGAATACAATGCTGCTGTACTTTCTTCGCGTGAACGTAATATGTTTATCGTTCAGATGTCACCCAAAGTCCCATTACCATTCGCTATTATGGCTGGAGAAGTTTCCGTAGAAATGCCGGAGGTGAGGATAATCATCATTCCTAGGGAAGACCGGGTTGGGACAGATATTTTATGCGGACAAAAACAACTTTTTGATACAAGGAAGCGCAGGGTTCACTTGCTCTGACGAGTTTCGTTCTGTTGTTGATCATCCTCAGCAACTCCTCTACTCGCTCGTGTGGCGAGGCAGAAT